AACGCTAGAGACTGGGAATTTTCTGTCTTTCGAAATCGGCATTAGGTTTGAGCGTTATTCTCTTTGTCTTTTAATAATAAGTTTTCTAAACATTTAACTAAATGAAACATATATTTTAAAATTTTTTAAAATTAGAAAAAAAAAAATAAATAAATTTAACTAAAGAAACAAGTTATTAAAAAAAAAAGAAAAAATATAAATAGAAAATGAAAATAAAAAATATATACATGTATCTTTTTAATATATTAGGTACAATCCAATAATTAGAAGAAAATTAAATTTAGAAAATAAAAATATAAAAAAATCACTAAAAATTAGATTATATTTAAAATAAAATATTTTTATTTTTAAAACAATAACATATAAAAATTTAAAGAAAATTAAATTTAAACCATTAAATTAAGAAAAGAAAAAATAAATAAAATATTTCTCTAAAAATTAAATGAAATTAAAAAAATAATTAAAAATAGTTAAAAATAGTTTTTTAATTCAATAAAAATCTAAAAATTTAAAAATGAAATTAAAAAAATTCTTAAAAATAAATTAAAATTAAAAGAAAATATTTTAATCTAAAAATTTAAATAAATTCAAACAAATGAAATTAACAAAAAAAAAAGAAAAATAAATAAAATAAGTTTCTAAAAATGAAATGAAATATATATATTTTTTAATACAGTAAAATCTAAAAATTAAGAAAATTTAATTTAAAAAGAAAAATAATATAAATTACTTTCCTAAAAATTTAATTAATATAAAGAAAAAATATGTTTCTTTTTAAAATAAAATAAACAATATTGAAAAATTAAAAATCAAATTAGAAAAGAATAATGTTAAATTAAAAAAGAAGAAACACGTTGCTAAAAATTAAACGAAATTAAAAAACATGTACATATGTACGTGTATTAGGGTGGTCCAAAAACAGTAAAGTCGGAATTGTAATGCTCTCAGTCCCTAGGATTGTTCTATATCGGAAAAAAGTATGTCCCTATTTTTTATTTTGAAATAAAAAATTTTTAGAGATTTTCCATGCATTTTTATATGAGAAAAATAAAATTTTTCGTAGAAATGATATACTTATATATATTTTATGTGGAAGAAAATGTCTAGCCCTAGTATGGTGAGATAAAAACTAATTATATTTTTTCTATTAGATTAAAAATCTTTTAGTGTAAATCCTATTAAAATATTTTAAACGTTATTTTATATTGAACAAGTTTACGACTTTGAGATATAACGGCGCCTTGTGAATCTCCTAGTTTTTTTCCTTTTTTGGAGTTGATATAAATTATTTGAAAATAGGAACAGTAAAATTAACCTTGTCATAAAGGGTATGTACATATATAGTAAAATTTAACGGCATCTTGTTTTCTGGAACATTTTGACCCCTGTTTGAGTCAAGTCTAGTAGTATTGATGTCCAAGGATGACTTTATCCAACAATGCCCGCGCAGGAGGGACTTTTACTGGGGTTTCTAAATTTTTGTATCCAGCTCAGAATAGTACAAAAGTTTACAAATTATTAAGGTGACCCAATTTCTGCACATAACATTAATTCGAACATGATTTACATTCGGTCATCTTTATTTATTTATACAGCATGTATCTTATTCTACGAACTATACGAGCTCTTCTTCCATATGACATAGGTTTTTCTCTCTCGTTGAATGCATTCATATGCACATGTGTATATGCATACATACATAAATTTTACACAGATGCATAATTTTGATTGCACATCTTTTGAGCGCATACATATGAAATAAATAACAACGACAAAGGCGAGCAGCCGGGGTTAGCGGCGTTGGACCGCATCGTTTTTTACCGGCCGGCATTTACTGCACAACACATTTAATTGTTTATTTATTTACTATAATTTTTTTGTAGAGTTGCAGCAAAATGACTCGTCTGTCTTCACGATTTTTTTTTTGTATTTAAGAGACAATCTTTCCTGAGCGCACTTGTGCACAAGGTTATTATAACTTTGTACGCATAACGGTTGTTTGTATATTTATATACCTACCAAAATGCTTAGAATGAAAAGAGAAGTCGATTAAGCTATATCTGTCTGTTTATCCCATATTGGTCTGAAATCAAAAAGTGGGGCTCAAAATAGCGGAGCAACTAAAATTCTTTACCGATTTGATTGTTATTTTTTTTCTCTTTAATGAAAGCTGATGAGATTTATCGAGCCCGGTTTGTTGAATTTGTATTTGTTTCTATTCAATTTTTTTTTTGTGAAAGTGCAGAAAAAGTAGCAATTTTGAAAAAAAAATGGAGTCTAATTGAGCATATTATCGAAAATGTTTGATATCGGGAAGAAACTTAGGTCCCATTTAACGGTGTTTTATAGAAAGGCAAAACCCGATATTTAAAACGTGAGCCGGCCATATGAAGCTCGGCTCCGACCGAACTTAGAATTCTTTACTTGTTCTTTTTATTTATTTTTTCATTACTTTTTTTTTAATTTAAAATTTAAAATTTCCATAGTAAAACCGCTTGCACGCGTATCGTGCTCGTTTATTTTGGCGTTTATGTATTTCATTTCTGTTTCCCCATTTTAATTTCCCCATTTTAATTTTTCAGCCTCTTTTCGCTTACTCATTTCACGCTATTTCTGTGTACAATACAAAACATACATACATGGGAGGTACATACATAGAAAGAAAATACAAAAAAGAAACTAGCTTTTTGTTGTCTTTGGTCTCATAATTAGTGCCCTAGACCCCACTGCGAACGCCATGCGCGGAATTCAAAATGCCACTTTTATGCATATTTAAACATACATATGTACATACACTTGTGGTCAGCTGATTAAGCCAGGCGACATTTTGACTACTTTTGGCTATTTTGCCTTTATTTATTTAATGTTTATATTTTCTTTTGTACAAGTCTAGCACTTATATACTTATATAGTGCCACACATAAATCCACATTTCAAACTTCATACAAAAATTATGACATGTTCAAAAAATGTTTAACATTTGCACCCAAAAATTTTAAACTTCTTATTTTGAATTTTGAGAAAAATTTTGGGTATGCAGTTGTGTAGTTCATTAAATTTTAGTAGGTTTCCAAGACGCTAGACGCTGATTTTTAATAAATTTAATATATTTTTAATAATTTTTAATATTTTTTGTTTGCTGTTGGTGTTAGGCTTTTTCTCCCATACAAACGAAATTGTCGAGCATATTTTATATGGAAGAAAAAGCCCAACATTGCCAGCCAAAAAAATTATCAAAAATAATGTTTAATATATTTTTTTTTTGTTGTTGGGGTTAGGCATTTTCTGCAATACAAACGAAATTGTCGAGCGTATTTTATATGGAAGAAAATGCACAAC